CAGAAGGTAATCCCAGCATCTTGTGTCATTGCCCTGCCCCTTTCATATAGATTCATCTGCAGGGGTTGTACAAAGTATGGAGGTGTGAAAGTAAAAATTTCAAAGTACTGACTAGCAAAATCATTTCTCATCAGGAATTCCCCAATGGAGGTTAAACTCAGAGCCCCCTCTTCTCCACCCCCGCCCATGCTTTCCACACTGGTGATTCTGCTGCCACCTGAGACCATAATTGTATATCCACCTATTTTCCAGGGACTGCAGGAAGAGGTATTAACCTTCCCTAGTCAGTGTCAGACTCAGCTTTGCACTCTATCATCATACCAGGCACAGTTGGTGTTCATTACTGAGAAATTGAGAGAGATTACAACTTGATTGAGTAGTGCCCTTGGTAGAAAAGGGAACATTCTTTGTTGGGGGCTAATATTGCTTTGAAGCTGAGTTCTAGCTATGTTCTGGTGCCCTTGCAGGAAAGAACATGTTAGTTTATCCTAGGCAGGGAGGAGGACCCATTACACCTTTTAACTAATGATTTCTATCAGTTAAATTCCATGTGGAGATAGGAGGAGGTAGTGGGGATGAAGGTTTTTTTCCTTTCTTTTCTTTTTCTTTTAAGGGTTAAAGGAGGAGATCTAGCTAGTTGGCAGCTTACACCATTCAAATTACAATGAACATTCTTCTTCAAATGAGTAATGGACTGCAAGACTAAAAGAATGAGTGTCTTAGAAGTGATCTCAGGAAGAGTGGGCTATACTGATAGACCACAATCCAGGAGGAAGACAGCTGTGGCTAATAGCCCTAATAAGGACACCGGGCCCCCTCCTATGAGGAGGCTGCCTATAGGCAGCATGTGACAGCTGAGAGAGCTAGAGCTTCTTTGGCTTCTTAAACTTGCCCATTTTATAAAAAATGAACTCTGTTGAAAGAAGGGAGAGGAAAAGAGCCAAGCAGGGACTTCTTTGTGTCAGAGCTTTGAGAGTCTAGGGTTCTTAGGTTACTTTCTCTGTTTGTGTATGTGCTATTCTATATTCTGCTTGTCCTGAAGTAAAGTTATCTGTGTCAGGCAGTGTTGCTAGCTATCCAAGGCCATTGGCATAGAAAATACTGAAGGACTGCTGATGATGTCTCTGTGTCAGAAGACTGGTGACAGCTGTGTCCTTGACAACTTATGAACCAATTCCTTTTGAGGAGGAAGATGTGCCTGTGTTAGGGATGGAGGGACACACAGTCAGACCACAAATGACCCTGATATCATGGCTGCTTCATTTAGACTAATGTACTAGCTTATCTTAGATCTCATCTCATAGGTGGTCATGTTTCTAGCTCCCCACAATTACTGGTCTGTAGAGATTAGAAAAACATTTCCCGGTCTGGAGTTAGGAAATCTATTCACTTCCCAAGCCTAAGGCTGATTGGGTGTGGCTTCTGAAAACAACATTTGCTATTAATTACAAATAAGAATTTATATGTATAAAATATTAATATAGTCTTGCAATCCCTCTGATAAATTAGCAGGTGTATTTTACCATGGCATTTTTTGGGGGGAAATAGTTTCTCTGTAGGGAAAATATAAAGGAATAATGAAAGATTAGGCTGGAAACATAGGTATTGAATAGACTGTGGCAGTTTTGAAATATCAACCAGACCAGAGCTGTCAAACAAGCAACCCACAGCTACATTGTGTACCTACAGCATGCCTATGCCAGATGAAATGTAACTGGAAAATATTTAATAAATTAAATAAAATGTTAATTAATAAATAAAAAGGCAACAGAATATAAGGTTAATTTATAATTTTCTAAATCAAAATGCAGCCCACAGGGAACGTTACGGAAGGTTTAGTGGTCCCAGTTTTTCTTTCAGTCTGACTCCACTGAACCAGATTAAGGAGCTTAGACTTTATTTCATGAGTAATAGGGAGCCATAAGCTCCGTGTTATTATTATTATTTTTTTTTGCTAGAAGAGTACAATGACATAGAGGCATGTTTTAGGAAGTTTATTCTAGGAGTGGTATTCAGACTGAACAGAAGAGGAAAAAGACTGCAGGCATGGTGGTCAATTAGGTAATTATAGTATGTCAAAGTGGCTAGAACACTTTGAACTTAGAAAGACACTAGATTTGTAACCCTGGGCAAGTCACTAAACCTCTGTCTGCCTGAGTTTACTCTCCTGTAAACTGGGGATAATCGCATTTACCTCACAGAGCTGTTGTGAGAGACAAATGAGACATTATTTGTAAAGTGCTTGGACATATAGTAAGCCCTTAATAAATGCTTTATTCCCTTCTCCTTTCTCTCTCCCCCTCCCCATGCCCAGTTCAGTCATAAGATGATTATGGACTAAAATAGGGTAGAGACAGTGGAAGTGAAAGACAATACCCAATTCAAGAGACATAACACTCATCAGAAGGAAAAAAAATATCCACAAGACTTAGTGATTACTAGATATGGGAAGCAAAGGAGATGGAAGAATCATGGAACCCTAAATTTTCAAGCTTCATTGATTTAGCATGGTGATGTTATTAATAGAAATATAGGGATTTGGTTTTGAAGATGATGGGTTCTGTTTTAAACATGTTGAGTTTGAGGTGATGGCACGACAACCATACGGTTATTTTAACAACTTCCCATGTGATATTTTGACATATTCAACTGAACCTCTGGAGAAAAATCCAGGTTGTAGATCATAGAATCCCAAAGTTGGAAGGGGTTTCAGAAATCAGCTAGTCCAAATGCTTGGCAGAAGCACACACCCCCTCAGTAGCATCTATGACCACTGCCATCCAGCTTCTGTCTCAAGTCCTATAGCATCAGAATACCCACAGCCAATCATTTTTGGTCAATTCTACTTGCCAGGAAATTATTCTTATAGAAATCTGAAATCTACCTCTCAGTAGTTTCCATCCATTGATTACAATTTTGTGCTCTGAGGCTGAGTCCTTCTGCATGAGAACCCTCAAATATTTGGAGGTGGAGATCATGTCCCTCCCAAATATTCTCTTCTCCCAACCAAAAGTCTCTAGTTCCTTTAGTTTGTCTTTTTCTGGTAGTCATTGGCATGAAAGTTGAAACCACTAGAGTGGATGAAGTCTCCATCAGCACATAACATTATTTTAACCATATTAACCTTTTTTTGCCATTGGTAAGCTTCTTTGTTACCATCTGTTTACTAGTTAATTACTGTCATGAAATATTGTTGCTCTCAGTTAATGTCCTTGGTGGGCTGGTATCAATATTATGCTAAATATTATCTTGTTTAAATTTTTTCTATTGGGCTCATTTTGCATCTAATATATGAAGTAGGTTCCTTACTCCTCAGAAACTCTGTTCAAATGACCCTTACTCCAGGGAAATATCCCTAATTTACCTCATAACTTAGGCATCAAAAATCAAAGGAGGTATGATTTCAATAGCATTGGCACCACAATGTTTCTTGGACTGGGCTATATTGTCTTCAAGAGTTATAAATGCATCCTTCTGTAGCAAACCTGGTAATAAACCTCTCTAAACTTGCTAGGCTGGTATTCAAATGATACTAAGGCAGCAAACATTGTCAAGCACATACTCACACTTTACCATATTGGTAATTATTTTGGTCTGTGTACTCTTATAACTTATATTTACGAGTTGTACTGCATTAATTCCTTTAAATAGATGATTATTGGTATAGTTTGTTTTATATACCTACTTTTCCCATTTCATCCCTTTCTTCACCCTCAACCCAAGAGCCATCCCATAAAATAAAGAAGAAAAAGAAAGTTCAGCAAAACTTTACCAATATACCAAAAAGTCTGAAAATACACACAATGCTCCACACTCATGTGTCTCTCACCTCAGCAAACGGATGGTGGTGGACAATGTGTCTTCTCTTATGCCTTTTTTGGGTCTAAGCTTGCTCATTATAATTTCACAGTATTCTGTTTTGATTACTTTATTGTTCTCATTTACATTGTTGTTGTTTTGTCTGTTTTTTCCTGGTTCCTTCACTTCACTTTTCATCAGTTCATATTTGCCTTCCCACACTTCTCTGAACTCACTATTTTTCACACAGAGTAATATTCAATAATGTTAACATACCATATTTGGCTTAGCCGTTCCCCAATCAATGGGTGTCTATGTTGTTTCTACTTCTTTGCTATCACAAAACATCCTACTTAAAATATTTTAGTGTACATAATGTCTTTTATTGTTGCTATTGTTGTTGTGGGTGGTGGTGGTTATAGTGGTGATGGTGGTGATGGTGATGATGTCCCTGGAGTATATGCCTAGCCACTGCATTCATGTTTATACCTGTTTATATTTCTATGTAAGTGTTATAATATTTTCTGTTCAGGTATTTTGTCTTTAACTAGATTGTAAACTTCTTGAAGACAGGAACCATTATTCTATACCTATTCACAGAAACCAGTATTCAGCATTCTCTGCAGCTGTATGTACCATACAGCAATGCACCATATGTACTCAATAAATGTTGACTATTTCTTAGTCAAAATTGTGTTCCCTGCTTTTAGTCACACCCAGGATAGTACTGAGATATTTGCCTTGTATTATGATATTCACTGCGTGTGTTGTAAAAATTTATAAGGCTATAAATCCAGCGTGTAGCAATGCCCTAAGTCCAGGCAAATGGGTTTTGACTGTTCCACAACCTGCCACGGATAGTCCCTAAACAGTTAACTGTGGCTCCTTATTGCATACTAATTATCTCCACCTTCTATGTCTCCTTATTGCATACTAATTATCTCCACCTTCCAGGACTCCTTCCAGGCACTTGCAAGTTTGGGTCATTATTGATGGTTGCACTTTGTTCCACAGAATTTTGAAACAAAAGCAGCTCCCTCAGTCTTTGACTGGTAAACCTTGTAAGCAGAGCATCTAGTTACAACCAGGGGTTATGGTCGAAAGTGCACTTCTGTCCTCCGTGACTTACTAAATAATGTAGCTCCCAGAGCTAGCAATGAGAGATTTGCTGGTGTCTTGTAACTGCTATCAGGAGACGTATGTCCATCATGCTTGATGTTCATTAGGTAGATGAGATCAGTGAGTTAAAGAACTGTTAAATTTGTGTTTTCCTTTAAGAGACACATGACTGTTGTAGCCGAGTCTCAGGACAGAAACTTGACAGAAAAGACCAAAGCGGTAAGATAAGCCTCTTACAAATATGTGAGTTAATGGATTTTTTTTAAAGTAGCAATCCTAGTGAGCTGCCTTGTTCTGTTTACTTAGTAATGTGAATAAGAGACAAAAATAAGTGCCTTACTCTCTGCTTGTTTTTCATGTATATGAATTATGCATGTATCTTAGTTATTTCCTAGATAATTGAAATGTTAGATAAAATTTGGGGAGAAGGTTAAATGAAAGCAAGTTTCAGAATTAGAAGAAAAAACTGGATTGACAACACCTGAGACTGCAACATATTTATGACTTGAGTTTTTTTTTTCCATTGAAAACTCTGTTCTTTGGAGATTTTAAAATTATTCCTTTATATTAACATCAGAGAGAAACTCAGCATCTAAACTGCCTTAGGGGGGAAAAAAACTAATTAAGTTTACTGCAAGTAAAGATTAGGTCTATTAAGTCATATTTTCCAAGTTCTTTAATGGATAAAACACATTAAGTTAATAGCCCCTATATTCTCCCTGTAAGAAATACTTGTGTTTCAATGTCCAAGGACATTTTTTTTCATGCAAATGTTAGAGTTTTTAATATAGGAAAATGATCAGAAGTAGAAATTATGGGAAAAGGGGGTTCTGTTGATGTCCCAGAATTAATTTATTGGGCAAGTGGAGGGGTCATTGCATTGCTGGCATGTGTTGTTTTGCTTCAGCCTCCTTCCCAACATGCAAGATTTCCTAACCCTCCCCCTTTCTGTGGGTGACAAGACCACAGGTTTTCCTGGCTGGGCATCTGGCTAAGTGACAGCCTAAGTTTGGCAGGTTCTTGGAAGCCTTTTGTTTGGCAGTTTGAGACAGCCAACAGCTTGTTGATACTAATGTACCTTCTCTTACTCTCCTCTCTCATTCCCACTCCTACCCAGGGATACTTAGGTCCAATTTACAGGGTTTAGTGGATAGCTGCGACTTCTCAGGAGATTATTTATTCTGTCAGCCGTGTAGTCTGCTCTAGCTGCAGATGAAAAGTTATTGAGTCCTATCCAACCATATCTTTTGACTTCAGTCTGATTCCTCCCCCTTCTCCCCTTTCCTCCATCCCTTTTTATATTATGAAACCTTTTTAAAAAAATTTTTAAATTCTAGATGAAGGTTTATCTTTTTTAACATTTAAGGTTCATTATGAAACTGAACAAGTATGAATATGCTAATAATTGTTCATTTTCCCATGAAAAAAAAATTTCTCAAAATAATGAATGACCACTTTAGAGTCTCCCCTGGAGGAATTCATTTGAGAGTACTCATGAGTCTTCTGGATCTGAAAAAAAAAATATGAGAGAGAGAGAGACAGAGACAGAGAAAGACAGAGAGACACAGGGGCAGAGAGACACAGAGACACAGAGGCAGAGAGATACACAGAGGCACAGAGATGCACAGATACAGAGAGACCAACAAAGAGACAGAAACAAAGAGACAAAGAAACAAAAACAGTGAGACAGAAAACCAGAGAAAGAGAGAGAGAGAGAGAGAGAGAGAGAGAGAGAGAGAGAGAGAGAGAGAGAGAGAGAGAGAGAGAGAAGACAGAGAGAGAGAAATAGAGATAGAAGCAGAGAGATACAGAGAAGTAGGGGCAAAGAGAGACAGAGACAGGGAAAAAAATAGAGACGAGGTCAGAAACAATAAGAAAGAAGGAAAGAGGGAAAATGAGAGTGACAGGGAATGCACATCTGACATTAGGTAATTATCACAGAAGACAGTTGGCTTACTAAACGAAGATTGTTCCAAAGAAGAGCTGATCCAGAATCCTACACATCTGCAGCATAGCATAAAATAGAGTGAGGATTGAGATTATATTATATATCCCAGGAAAAACAGAGATAAGGGAAAATTTGGAGCAAAATTAGAAAAAAAATGCAAAGTCTATTTTCATACCAAACATTGACATGTGTAAGAAATATTAGTACTATTCACATGATTTCATATGCATTATTTAAGAGAGAAAGATACTGCTACCATTACAACTTTTTCTTCCTTGGGTGTCAGTTTCTTCATCCCTCATACAAAACGAAGGAATTGGCCTCTAAAGGCCCTTTTAGTTCCAGATCTATGGTTCTATAAACCCATCTAAATGCTGAGCACCAGGTTTCCACAAACCTAGATTAAATGAGGGCTAAGAGCTCTTCTACCCTAAAGATGATTTGATTCTAAACTATCTGGCAGAATGAGAGGGTACTGAGAAAATTCCACAGGCTTGGAATTTCACAAGAATAAGTTGTAAAATTCAGCAAAATAAAAAAATAAAAAAAATTAATACCAAATTAAGTCAAATAATAATAATAATAATAACAGCTAATATTGATACAGTGCTTTAAGATTCATAAAGTTATTTACATATATTGTCTCCATTATAACTTTACATTATTTTATTTAATAACCACTTCGTGTTCACAGAATTAGTTCAATGTTGTGTCCTTTTTTGAAATGTCTCAAAGCTTTCCATTAGATAAGAGACTTTTTCAGACCAGAAAGTTCCTTGTATAGGGACTCCTCTATAACTAGAGAATTCTTCTGTAACTATATGGTAGGAGATTTGCCTGAGGCATTCAACAGTTAATTGATTCACCCATGTTTACATGGTAGGATTCAGAGACAAGACTTGAACACAGGTTTTCATAACTCCAAGGCTACTTTTTATTCATTACACCAGTAGGTAGCATATTGACTTAGGAAATCATACATTAACATTGTTGTTAGTTTTGTCTGACTCTTCAAGACCACATTAGGGGTTTTCTTGGCAAAGATGCTGGAGTGGTTTCCCATTTCCTTCTCCAGCTCATTTTACAAATGAGGAAACTGAGGCAAACAGGGTTAAGTGACTTGCCCAAGGTCACACAGCTAGTGTCTGAGGCTGGATCTGAACTCAGGAAGATTAGTCATCCTGACTTCAGGCCTGGTACTCTATCCACTGTACCACTTAGTTTCCCCATATTAACATTATCTATGTTCTATTGCATTTTTGTTTATTTTGCTAAATATTTCCCAATTACATTTTAATCTGGTTCAAACTGTACTCAAGTGTTGCAGGCCTCAGTACTGCCAGAGGACCTAGTATTTGACTCTTCTGCATTACACTAGGCTGTGTCTCCTTAAGGTACTTTAAATAGAGTACCATCTTATTAAGACTTGAACAGTCATGATAGCATTATTTGCACATTCAAGTATCACATGATTGTAGATGGTCATGAATTTTTACAGGTAAAATATATGATTACACTCAGGTAAAAAGGCAAGGATATCTTTAGCCTCCCTCTGTGGGGTTCACTAATCATTGAAAACAAAGAGATGCTATAGTAAACTGACTCTTTGGCTTAAGTTACCAGTCAGGTTCATACTCTCCTCAAGTAAAAAAAAAATGAATATATTACACTTTGATGGAAGCACGAGCAAAATGGAAGATAAATCAAAAAGATTGATGTATTTATAAAATACATGTGAAAAATCCAAATTAGTTTGACAAAAATATTCTTTGTCAGTAAGCTGAGTTGTGAAATGTGTAAAATAAAATCTAAAGTCAGGCTTAAAAAAAATTGATGGAATTTCTCTCACCAGGACTTCATAGCAATATGTATCTGATTTGGATTAAAGGCATCAGAAACCAGTTTAAAAGTGAGGAAAGAATTAATTACATGTTCTATTCAACTGACTGTTAATGGAAAACTAAATAAGTAAGTCAAATTAGAATGGGTGGGAAAATGTTTACAGACATTTCAAAAATCATCTTTTTGATAACTTGTCTTTTTAAAAAAATACTTTTAGGAAATTTCATTTTGAGGAAGATCCAGTGCTTTTTGTTTCTTGGCCACTATGGTTTGCCTCTGTGTGTGGATGAGCATGTGTTATATGAAGCTTTTTTTTTAATATAAAGATTTCATGTACATAGGGAATTCTTTTCTTGACTAGAAATAAGCTTTCACAGGCAGGTAATGGATAAAATAGTAATGGTAGAAAGATTCTTACAATAACAGTTTTATCAAAACATAATTCTACCATCAAAGTTGTGAAAAATGCCATTCTTTGATACATTGATTATCTAGCATTAGACATGAGTTCTCACCTGCTTAAATATTCTCCCCATACACATCTGACACTACCTCCCGTGAGATAGTGGAACACCTGGCAACAAGAAATACAGGCTCTGAACTTTAAGCTCCCTGTGAATGTCAGCTAAAATGCACACATACTAAACCCTTTTAGATTTTGCCTCCAAGAGATCCCAATGAACAGCCAGGCTATCATATAACTTAAGAAGATAAAAATGCCATACATGTACAGTAGAAATTGACAATAGTTTGGTCCTCGTAAGCAGTCAGGTAAGCTACCCCTTTATCTCTTAGCTGAAGGGTTTGTTGTTGTTGTTATTACTGTTACTATTTCAGATGGGATTATTGTTTGTTTTTGCTGCACGTATCTGTTACATTGAAACCACTATCCAATAGCATGTCCAAGATAAAAGAAAATGTAAGAGTTTGGAATTAATTTCACCTCAGTCATGGTGTCCTTAAGAGTCTGATGAATTTTAAGCATTTTCTGTCAGGTTTCTTATTACCATGCTCCTGCATTCCTCAAATTTCTTTCCCCTTACCTCTAGAGAACTGACTTACATAGTTTTAATTTAAAAAAAAATAGTTTGGCAAACAAAGAGTCCTCAGAATTAGAGCTGGAAGAGATCTTAGAGCTCATTTAAACCTCCTCATTCTACAAGTGAGAAAACAGAAGCTTAGAGATTTGTCAATTAAGAAGTTAAGAGATTCATCTAAGGATGCAAATCTAGGAGGTAAGCAGGGATGGGATTTGAACCCTCTGTTATTTGAACCAAGCCATGTAATGTTGTGACCTCACTATTCTTAGGATGGGAAACGTGATGTATACTAATAACTATTTGCTGATCAGGGTTCAGAATGAAATGAAAGATGGGGAAAATGGGAATACATTTTTAACCTTGTGTATAAACTTTTGAAAGAGGCCAAT